GTGTTACGTATGCCGAACCATCGTTTGCCGAAAAGAGTACTGTTTTCCATGCCCAAATCGGAGTGGCGTAAACAGAGAGGTGGCCAACTCATGACCTGGCAGAGGAGTATGAAGGAGATCACGAAACGCTTGGGTGCTGTCGGTGCTACTCGCCTTCCAGGATGGGGACCGCGTGATCCTCACTGTGCCTGGTTGGAGACACTACAAGATATGGCTGCCAACCGATGTCAGTGGCGTTCTTGTTGTCAGTTTCTGTCCAGATTGCCTGAGTGAATATCTGGAGGTGTAGGCATCTCGGAATGATTGTGTTAAGCTAGCACTAAGTCCCTCCCCCATCCACCTTTATTCTTTTCTTTACAATAAGGCTTTCATATAAGTCATGGTTGTACGGCAGTGAAGCATTGGTGTTGAGCACTGATGTCATGCTGTCGTTGATGATGGTGATGATGATGTCGAGATCTCCGCGTCAGTGACATCCGATGTGTATGAGGTCTCTGTAAGTGCGATTTTGGACTGTTGTTCAAGGCAATTCAACTATTGAGTATCGAGAAGTTTCTTGAAAAGGCCGAGGCACTTTGTGAACAAGTAGACCAACACTATTTCTTCTGCATCCGGATGTGGGGAGCAGAAAGGTGTCGCGCCACCAAGGGGGTTAGCAGATTTAAAAGTTCTACGGCGGGTTTTAGTCCAAGGCTTCGAATGGGCCCCTGCGACCTGCATGTCTGCTTCCTGCAGAGGGTTGTCCCCTCCGAGTCCTGTTTGTGCGGACTCTTTGTCTTTGAGGGACGCCCTTTTCCTCCTCTTGTTCGAAAATTTCGATCGCTGCTGCTTACTCGACAGGTGCCACCTCCTTGAATGGGGACCCCAGGACTCAATTCACCAATGGTTACTGACCCTGGCAGAAATAGTTCAGTGGCACGTTTGCATCAAAGCTACCGCATTCAATACGTAGATCTCCAGTTTCGGAACCAACTGAAGATGCCATCATCCCAGGGCTTGGCTGTATGTCCCACATTCTCCCACTTTCTGGTGATCAAGACTGTAGTAACTTGAACCAATGTACCTATGGTGAACCGTTTATTGCTGATAGATTGAAATTGAATTTATGAAGCTTCTAGCTCGTTTGATGTCACCTGGAATCGCTGTTGTTTGGAGATTTGTGGTGAACATCTTTTGTTTGGTTTCCTAGGCTTCCGGTAGCAGTTTGGCCGCCAAGATGCCTCTGTGAAACCCTATCGGGTCGCTTGATTATTGGATTGAACCACCAGGGGCTATTATTTCTGATTGAAAACCTAAGAGGCTATTTTTAATGGTTGAATGCACCTCGAATTAAGCAAGAACTTTTCTGCTGGGACAAGGTTTACGTGGCTTATTCGACCACGATCACTTTTTGTGTTTATATGAACACTCAGATCGTTCGCGGTCACCGTGATCAACTCGATGGACGTAGGATTTTCAAGTACAATGTTGTTAGATTTGTGGCTTTGGCCATCGGATTCATGATTGACGACTGAATCCATAATCAGATTTGCCGCTTTTGAGGGAGTGGAGACTGGTAGTTTAGTATTTCTAGAGGATCTCCCGCGGGTCTTCAGTACGCTAACTTCGTCCTGGTTACCTGGCTACTGGTCGTGGAACTCTCGCAGCGATCCCCGGCGTCAAGGCAAATGCTTTTGGTTGATCTGTCGGTGGACCTCGCTGCTTGTTTCTACACAGCCGACCTAATTTAGATTAGAGCTTGTAATTTTGGTGCTGCGCCTTTATCATCCACTAGGGAAATAAGTGACGATAGTTCCAAATATGTTGAATGCTATGTGAGGCTTGCCTTACTCCTAGCATCACTATCGTTAATCGATAATAGGTGAGTCTGTCACGGTTGAGTAGAAACTGCAATCTGGAACCACCGCCAATAAGACCAGTGTGCTTTCAAGAGCACAGAAGTCCATAGCTACCATCGGGTTTATCATAAGTTTGGGACCAATCGATCTGTCGCCAGGGGGAAGCTTGTTTTGCGCCTCTCTAAGACTTGTGACCCAGTTTTTCCGCTTCTAGGACGTAATTCTCGGATATACGCTTAATATTCGGGAGGCTTTTTGACTGCTTAAAGCCCACTCCAAAATCCTGTGTACGGCATTTGGGGTGGAATATGACTTGAAGTCCAAAAGTTCGCTTGCTTCCCTTTCCGCATAACCATTCTGAATTAAGTGTTCCGCATTTGGACTTTGTGACAACACCACCAAGGAGCGATTTCGTCAGTTTTGTTGGCTTGCTTCTCCTGGAAAATGACCCCCAGATGATCATCCTGGAATTCATCATGCTTCTGTCCACCAGAGACGCCTTGGTGATCTTGATTACCCCTCCAGAGAGTGGAATCATCTCAGCCAACGGAACTCGGATGGAGAACCCAGGGAGAGAATTTCGTAGTCGGCTTTCGCCCAGGCCGCTATGTTCTTTGTGTTTTCATCATCTCAAGTCTTCGAGAGAAGTGCTACTTTCTCCTCGGGTGTCCCGATCAAAATGGTACATTCGCACTGGCCCTCCACACTTAAAAGTGGGGATTTGGTTTCATTATCGACAGGTGTCTTGTTATTTATGGGATGCACAGCACCTCTAAGGTAGTGGCGGCTGGCGCAAAGTGGTTAGAATAGTTGGACGATCGGTTTATCTGTTCATCCTGCAAGCCCGTACACTTGAAACACAATCAGTTCTGTAAAGCATGACATTGCGTTCCACGCCCTACATTCCCTGGGCCTCCATTTCATCCACATTGCTCATAATTTGGCTCATGATTGCGAATAAATGGGTGCACGGTACAAGCGGAGTGCAATCTGACAGAGTTCTTAACGCATAGGTTGTATCCGAGTGAAAAAAATCTACCAAATGGCACGTCTTAAATAAATAGATTAAACGCCTTGACTTGAAACAGTTCTGAACACTTTACGATCTGAGCCTATGAGCGTCCGGTAGAACACCGGTTAAACACTGGATAGACGCTATCCGGCCGGGTAACCGAAGAATAGAAATTCATTTCTGATGCGAACCAAGGTCCAACCAATGTTGTCTTACGTCTCAGCGTTGGTCCCACTTACCATCTCACTCAACCACTAATTAACCTATGCTTACTCGGTATATCCAAATGGCCGTTTTCTAAGTTGTCGACGATGACCAGGTTCGTTGAAGTGTATTAGGCTTATGGAAACCTCACAGACCCATTAACACTATCATTTACAAGTGCAATATTCGATAGACTACGTTCCACAGATTCCTATTAATTGTGCACTTGATTGTCTGCCTTACGTTAAACCAAGGGTCCCGTAGGAAAGAGATATCTACCAATGCTGTCAAGTACCTCGTGCGGTTTTTTGTCACTTTTCGGCGTTCAGTTATGTTTCAACCATTAATTATCCAACTTGTTTCGCATTCAAAATTGACGTGTGTTTTTTTTCCTTAGGGCGTAACACCTAGAGAACGCAGGCGAAATCGTCTCAGGGCCCCTTTTGGTGACGAAGACATTCCGATCGTATTTGCTGGAGCTGGTGGACGTGAGGTAGATATTTGATCTTTTGAACGACTTCCTCTGATTTAAGCTCTTCCACAGGCGTCTTTCGGCCAACAGAGGGTGAGGTGTACCTGATTATCGCTTACTTCGTAGGACTGCATTTATCTACGATGATCGTATGTTACTACACAAAAACGAATGGTACCCGACTTATCCCGAGTGCCCTGAACGGGGAGTGGCCGTTAGGGACCGGTGTGATTCCTATGACCTACTTTCTCGGTGTATACTGATGACTGTAGGTTGCCTGGATAAGAGCTTTTCGTTTACATTACACACCCGCTATAGGCTGATCCTGCGCAAGATGACATACTTCTTTATATCCATCGAAACACCCATATTGTCAAGACAGCTCAAACCGAACACATGAACGACAATGAACGAAGGTCCTTATCTGGCGGTCTTGATTCAGCCTACTTTAACGAAGTAAGTGTTGAATATATGAACTATTTGTGTTGCATGTTTCCCCAGTTTTTGGTATTTGATTGTTGTGTATATATGAAAGAAGAGTATTTCGTCATAAATCCCCGACACACTGCAAATAAATGTAATACGGTGGTGGAGCTTCATTCTCACACGTTTGCCGTGATGTTGCGACAAAGAGACTGGGCCGTCACGAAGAGACTGGACCTTACCGTGGTGTGACGGTTTGCGCACCTCAGCGATCCATTGAGCTATACTGGAGAGTGTCTCGCGACACTCACAGAGTCTCTCATACCAGGTTGGTCAATGGTTAGAGGTCTGACGAACACAGTCTCCTGGCCCTCCAGGTTGGGGGTTGGAACATGTGGCGACTTGTTCCGCAGAAATGGTAACGCATTTGCATTTCCCGCCAAACACCGCTGCCTTGCGGTTAGGCTTTTGAGCCAAAGGCTTTGGTTGAGGACCCTAATCGTCCTCCTGTCTAGATGTGGGCGCCATGGCAGTATCCCAGCTCACGTACAACCATGAATTGCACATACACAAATAAACTCTTGCCACATCGGCCGTCGGGTGGTTGTAGTGTCCCTTGTTATATCCATGGTACCCTTTGACCTGGATCGTGTTCTCCGAACATTTGGACCAACCTTCTGTTCCACTTGAAGCACATTTGGCAGCGGATCTAAGAAGCTTGCAGCCGTAATGGCAACATTGTTGAAGAAACAATAGCCGCAGGCTTCTGAGTGCATGGCATGATGACCCGGCGGGCGCAGCAAGGCGAAGCCGTTGGCTAAGCGACCGTGAACCACGAGGTTGGCAAGGTGTTTCAAGCTGCCAGCAGCTAAGCAAGAACTTGTCCAGGTAGCCTGGGTATGAGAGATCGAACAGTAGCATCAGCTTGACGTTGTACGAAAAGGAGATGCTTCGTCAAAAGTAACCTTAAAAGATTTGCAATGTGGTGAACCGGAGGGGACAGCAATCTCAAACTATGCCTTTTTTCAATCCCAATAACTCATGCTCTAAGACTGTACTACCCTGATGTGAAACAGTTATCCGATATCAAGTTCTTGCAGGCAAACAAAGGTGGAAGTTGTGGTATTTCAACAGGAAAAGTTGGTACACATTTCAGCCTGTATCTAACGCACCTCGCCAAAAAAAGTCACTTCTGAGGCCACCTACGTGTCTCGGTGATTCATGGTTGTCATATCGTGAAAAGCCCTGTCTAGGTGTGGGCGC